AGTTCAATGGTACAAAGGTTATGTATTACAATTTGGATTACTTATAACAGTTTGAGAAAACATTCAATTTTTGTTGAAGAAGCATCTAAGTATTTGATTGTACTAAAATTTTTGGCTAAAAGTCAATGCATAGATATTCATCAAGAATGTCAACATAGTGTTTATGGCTTAATTAACATTTACTATTTAAAGGTTGGTCTGTTTAACTATACTGGATATATTTGAATTTAGAATTTATGTATTGTTTTTATTATAGAATGAGTTTAAAATTGAATGTGATTTATCAGAATACTCTAATGAAGAAAAGCTTTTAAAAAAATGTGTAAATTCAGTCTTGAAAGGTAATTTGAACATTTTAAATCAACCCATTTTGACTGTTAATTAATTTTAATAATTTACTATTTTCCGATGACCATTAGATGAATGTTTCAACAATATAAAAACTTCTATTATACAAGCAAAATTATCCCGGTTATCTAATTTAATATTCCAGTCTTTTGAAAATGTTGTGATTCAGTTTGTTAAGGAATCTGCTTTACAAATGAATAATGAAAACATATGTATATTTGGTCAATTTATAAATTCCTTTGGAGATGTTAGCCTTCAGATTGCAACTAAATTATTAGAACTAGGAGAACTTTTGGTGTCTACTTATGATCCAGTGTCTCAAGCTGCATTTAAAATACCTCTTTGGACATTGATTCGCCGAATTACACAACTAGTTACTGTTAATAGTGAATCAAGTAATATATATTTTTTCTATTTAATAGTTAAATTAAGAAATTAATTTGATATTTTTATTTTTTCTATTTTAGGTTTGTTAACAAGAGCTGTTGAATTAAGTCAGTGGGTTGAACCATTTTTTTTAACATGTGGAGATGTGGTAAATAGCGATAATTTAGAACTTGGCTTAGCATATTCTTGGAGAAATGGAATTATTGATAAAAATTCTATACATTTAGAATTTTTTGAACAATTTAAACTTTACAGTTCATTTTTAAGTAATATTTAATTAGTTATAGAGTATTAAAACCACTAATAATAATAATAATAATAATTTTTCTTCTAGATTCTTATAATCCTAAATCTTCATTACACTGTTACAAGAAAATTGATATTAAAGATTCATATGATACCATTGTAAGTTCAACAATTATGTTTTAAAAAATATTTTTAATAATATTTAATCTTTAATCAAAATATTTTAGCCATCACCAGATATAATTATGTCTTCATTAGAATATTTCCAAGGTCAGAACCTTATTGGTCTTCACATAACTGTAACACAAATAATGTGTTTGTATCGTGCTATTCTTCAAAATCAACAAACATTGGTCAGTTCTAATTTAATTATAAAGAAAAACAATTTTGCTTATAATAGATATTTATTTATTAAACTAATGTATATTTATTATTTTTAATTTATTTCAGGAACCAGAGTTAACTAAAAAAGGAAATAATTTAATAAAAAGTAATGTAAGACAAATATTAAAAAGTGTTACTTATTCTCGAAACTTGGATATGGACCTAGGTTTAGGTCTTTTAAATACTCTTAAACCGCATGATGCTTTTAATTGGCTCGAAGATGCTTTGAATAAGTATAAGATACAACTATAAACTTATCTAATTTTAATGGTTATATATTTTTTTAATTATGTTATTGTTTGATCTATAGTGTGGGGATGAACTATCAAAAATTAACAAATATTACAGATTTGGGATTAGTTTACTTACGATCAAATATTGATACTGCTGGTGATTTATATGAAACACTTAAATCTACAAAAAATAAATGTATCTGGGGTAAAAAGTTGATGAAATATGGATTTGCATTTAAAGGTACATAAATATTTTTAATACTTTATAGTGAGTTAAATAATGAATATAGAAGTATTAGTATGTATATATATATTTTATAATTTTAGATGCATTTTATAATTCAGAATTAGATCAACGACATTTATTGCAGAAAATGATAAGATCTCCTATCATTACATTAAATGTTTTAGTAGACTATTGTAATGATACTCATTTTGATTTACAACAAACTGCTAAATTATTTTTAGAAAGTTCCTTAATTCAATGGGAACCATACACACCTATGGAAAATGAAGAGAAGACATTTGGTGAATAGTTAACCAAACTTTTTAAAATAGTCAATCATTAAAATAAATTGCTAATTGTTTTGTAAATAATCTTTAGATTGGATTGCTAAAATAATTGAAGACAAAGATGCCTTATTAAAAAAATGTGAAGATATCTTTTGTGTTATTACAGATAAAACTGATATTTTAGATTTTCTTTGGAACCATGTTTGGGAACAAGTAAGACATCAAAATATACTGTACTTTTACCTTTAGCTTAATAATTAAATATTTTATATATTAATATTTTTTTTATTAATATTTGGTTTTTAGGTGAATATTTATTATTATGAAGTATTCTTAGTAATAATGGGTTTAATTGAAAAATATGATGTAAATGCAATTTTAAAATTTCACGTTCAAAAAGAAATTTTATTATTTTTAATGCAATACAAACGAGTAAGTATACCTGAAGAACACGAGCAAGAAATATGGTTTTCCATGTTCCAGGAATCACAATCATTACCTCCTATTTCTAAATACCGTTTACCCTATGTTCCACTTGCAAATAAAAAAAAAAAAAAATTTGGACATCGTGAAATTCATGTATGGAAAATCATAAAACCAGAATTGACGTTTTTAACGTACAATAAATGGTTTTCAATAATTGAAGCAATTGAAATGGATAAAGACACATTATGTATTTTAACTGTAAAGAATATGGTAAGAATTGTTAATGCATAGTTATTCATAGACTAACCAAATGATTAATATTTTAGGTTAATGAAGTAGCTACTAAAGATAAGAATGTTGAATGGTATTTACATATGCGCTTGGAATCATTACTTAAAGATATTCAAGAAGTGTTGAGCAATGTAAAGAATTTAGAAATAGTTGCTGCTTCACTTTATTTTGTTGTCAATAGTTTACCTTTAGGTATTATTTATATTTTTAATTGTCAATTAATAATAACTTATGTTGAACTATGCTGTTATAAAAATATTATTTATTTGAATTTTTTTTTAGGCGCTGATCAGTTAGCAGCAGCTAAAATTAGTCATTCACAAGCTCAAGAATGGGTTAAATTAGAAAATTCAGAAAATGCCAAGTCTGGTATTACAAAAGTATGTATTTGTATTAATTTATTTAAATTAAACAAAATAAGTATTTTTATATATTTTTTTTTTCAAGGTTGTTACAAAATATGTGTTAATAACCACTAAACATATATTACATATGTATGGATTTGGCAAACCAAATTATTTACAATTAGCATTGCAACCTAATGAATTAATTAGAGAATTATACAATGATCCAATAATACTTAAAAGACATACAGGGGAAATAAAAGTATTTCCTGGTAAGTTTTAATGTAAAATTAAGGTTTTGGTTTCAATTTATAAATTATTATTATGTTATGTTTTTTAGACATTCACGGTGCAGTAGATGCAATCGTTGAAGTTCATGGTAAAGGAGACTTAGCACTAAAAGTTGATCTTTTAAAAGAGTGGTTACAACCCTCTTCATTGGGATCAATGAGTTCTCCTGATAAAAGTTTGATGTCAACAACGAATTCGTTTTATGTACCTCAAGAAAATTTAACAATCAGCGAAGGTGTATTAAGGTGATAATTTTATTATTATTTAAATTTGTTTAACCTTTGTTAAATACAGCTTAAAATTGAGTGGTGTTAAACTTTTAATAATGTATAATTATGTTTAGAGCATGCTATTTATTAGAAAATGATACACCAGCGTACAATTTACATAATTTCCTTATATGCCAAGCTTATAATGAAGATGACAGTGAATCTATGTGCCCGACAAGTGTGAGACTAAGAGCATTGCAATGCCTGTGCTTGGTGACAACAGAAAATATTGAAGAAATTACTTGCCGTTCAAAAGAATTAATGAAGTAAGAATATTAATTTTTATATTTACTATATTGAAGTTTAATAACTAATTCACTTCACTCATTTGAATTTTAGAAATAATTTGGTCGAATTATCAATTATTACTGAATTGGAAACTCTTGGAATCAATTTTTCCCCAGCAAGATACCGTGGATGTGATAAATCCAAACTAGTCCAATCGTTGATGGCAAGAAGATCGTTGAGTTCTACTAAATTAGCTTCACATTTATGTGTTTTATATTCAGATACTATGAATCCCAGTATATGGGATTTATTACTTACTAGATTAATTCATTTTACAATGATTATTGAATTGGAAAAAGTACTAATTCATTTGATGGATAAATGGCATAAGTTGACATTTGACATTGTAGAAAAAGCCTGGAATGTTTTTCTTAAGTCATCATTCAACAGTGGTACGAATACATTAATTTTCTTAATAAAATAGTTATAAATAGTGATGTTACAAACTGATAGTTATTTTTAAAATTTTCCAATTGAAAAGAATCAATGATAATCAAATTAACAAAATTATTATTTGAACTTTGTAAAGAAAATAACTATTTTTTTTATTACTTGTTATTCTATCAAATAATTGTTTTTTTATAAATACCGTTAAATTTAATTTGAACCTTTTATTTTTGGTTAGTTGTATAAATAAATTGAATAGTTTAGCAAGTTCAAATAAAAAATTGTAAATTCAATTAATTTAAAAAAAATAGTGTTTGTAGCATCACTAATTAATAATTAAATTAAATTCACATTTTTATAAGTTATTATTATTTTTAGCTAAAGATTCTTATGAAGTTATACATTGTGTCAAATTGGCGTTCAGTTGTCCAGTTATAGATAGTATTGATCTAAAACCAATTATTGAATATTGTGAACGCTTTCAACTCGATCAATATGTGCAAAAGTTAAAGTGTCTAAGTTAAGATTTTTTAAATTTAGATACGTAAATAAGCAATTGTTAGTTTTATTTTTATATTAATACAAAATTGTCTAATTATAATATTTTTTAACAGAACTATATCTTAAAACAATATATACAAAACGTGATAATTTATAAAAGTATGTGCTATGATTATCTCATTTATTCTTCAAAAACCCTTTTTAATTCTGCTTCTTTCCGTTCTTGAAATATTCTCTTTAGTTCAGCAATTTTTTGTTGAGGTTCTGGTCTTTCCGGTGGAAACATCTCTCTCTTGAATTTTATTACTTTATCTTCATAATTTTCGGGTAAGTTGAAGTAATGGAATAAGATAACAGGAAATGCCATATAAATACCCATTCGTAACACTTCTAACTGCCACTTAGCCATATCTAGGTGAATATTTAACAAGAATAATTATTAATTATATTAATTAGTTTATAAATTAAAAAAGTATTCAAGAATAACATTTTTTTAGGTAATTTGAACATTATACTAGATTGGGTGTTGGAGAGTAATAAATTCACAGAGAAGTGATATTCAGAGCTGTTTCAATTTTATGTTAATTTACATTTTATAAAAGGTATTTCATAAAGAACATTGTTTTTAATTTTGTAATAAATCAATTTCATTTTATAAAATATATATTGTTTCACAAATAGTTGAAGTTTAAGTGTAAAACATATCCTTTGGGGTTTCATTAAATAATAAGTCTATACAAACAAACCATGAACTTGATGGGCAAGTTTGTTAAAATGTAATTGGTGATTGTATTGACAGTCACTGTTTGTTAAGTGATTAAAGGGCATCATATGCATGATGTCCTGTTTCACATTTAAAACTCAACTCATAAAAAAAACAAAAAATATTATTCTTAATGTATTTCTAATAAAATAAAATAAATGTATAGGAAAATTAAAAACTGCATTCTTTATACACACCCTGCACGTAGCTGGACTTTGCACAGAAATAATAATGAATAATTATTTTCTGAACTGAGTGTATATATATAATAATTTATCGAATTAATGAACAACTTGTATAGTTACTATTTGCAAATAAACATTTTAACATATTACTTATACAAGTAGTTTTATGATATTTATGACATAGGTACAATGATTAAGTAAAAAGTTTAATCTAAGTATACATTTTTACAATAAATTGATTGTCTTACCTATAATTTAAATTAACGGTCAATATTCACTAAACAGAGAATAAACAGTCTAAAGTTACAAAATATAAAATGCAATTAGTAGTTCGTATTTTATTTTTAACTTCAATGTATAAAATTAAAAATTAAATTATAATCTGCAATTAGTGTAATAACTAATAACTAATATTATATTGCTAATCTTATATTTTCAATTTTGTCTTTGATATCACATTTATACATAGATAATAATAAAAGATAATTATTTTATTATCAGGATAACCAAATAAATTATCTTTAGTCGTGGTAAAAACCACAGATGATAAACAAAATATGATATTAAAATATTCCTACAATCAACACTTTTTAATTATTATCGTTATATTTAAAAATGAAATATAATTAACAATAGAAAACATTATAAAACCAATTAAGATATTAAACTTCCTTCTTAGTATTAGAATTGAGTATTAAATGGTACATCAAAATATTTAAATTAATTATTTGACTTTTAATTACTTGTTTATTTTTGTATTATTTTGCAGTCAATTTTTTTTTGGAGTTGTTGGTAACACTGCTATCGATTTGGTGTGACAATCAACATAACCTCAAATTTAAAAATGTTACTTACTCTTTTTCTTTCGTGATTTGATTCTGTATGGCGTAAGTTTCTTATTTCTAGTTCGTGACTAGATAGCTTTATATTTTTACGTTTAAACTTCCAATACTTATTGAGTGTAAGTTAATTATATTATACCTAAGGTACATTTTATTAAATTTGCATAAAACTTGTTATCATTCGATAATTTGACTTGTTTATGATGGATTTTTAATAAAGTTATACATTGGCCATGTGGCATTGTTGCTTTTCAATTAATTAACATTTATTTTTAAATAATTATTATTTGTTGATTTAGTATAAAATGGCCCCCAGAAAAGGAAAAGTACAGAAAGAAGAGCCAGTAATCCAACTAGGACCACAAATTCAAGAAGGAGAATTGGTTTATGGTGTTGCTCACATTTTTGCTAGTTTCAATGATACATTTGTACATGTAACAGATTTATCTGGAAGGTAAATATTATTTTAAAATAAAATTGTTATCAAATTTTAACTACATAGTAGTTAATAAATTTCAAAGCAACATTAATTGTTAAAATATTTAACCCTAAATGACCAAAAATAACTATGTATGTGTTTGCATTGTATTAACATTTATTTATTATCTATATTTCTTTTCTGTTTTAGTATTTTGTTTATTATTTAATTTAAAATAAAACTAATTAAGTGCAAGATAACAAGTAATTATTTTCTTTGAGATTATAAATATTTCATTGTCGTAATTATTTATACCCATTTTTTAAAGTGCACCTCTTCTCAATTAATGTTCAAACTCAATTTCTAATGTACATATCACTGTCTACAAAAAAAGATATGATTATTAACAAAATGTTTTTTTTTTTTTTAGAGAAACAATTGCTAGAGTTACCGGGGGAATGAAAGTAAAAGCTGACAGAGATGAAGCTTCTCCTTATGCTGCTATGTTGGCTGCTCAAGTATGTTTTATTTATTAATTGACTTAAAAAAAACGTTTAAATAAATTACACTTGCCACTTCTTCAAGATATAGACTTTGATTAATAAGATGTCATTAAACTAGTTTTCTCTTTCTGAAAGAAATGTAACAGCAGATTTGCATTTAATAATTTCTATTTTGTATTAAGCATTATGTTATATTACCTTTAATATCAATGTAAATTATCCTGTTATTAAAATTGAAGTTAAGAACATTATCCACTTGTATGTTGGCTTTGTTATAATATTTCTAAATTTTCTATATCACTCATATTAAATACTTATTAATTACATTTTTTTAAAGAACTAATACATAAGTACAAATATTATTTTCACTTAATATTTAATAAAACTAACAACACAAGATTGAGTCTCATTTCACTAATTAACTACTATATTATGTTTGGGTAAAGAGAGATATCTAGAGAAAATGATTATGTCGGGGACACGAAAACTGGCGTGTGATCTTTAATATATACTGACCCTCATCCTGTCAGTAGACAATGGTTCTCAATTTGCAGCATCTTTCGCACAGTATCATGAAATGTGTATTTTTAAATTGCAAGCTAATTGATTTTAGAGTTTTAAGAACACATTAGACCTAACCTACCGTTAAGATGCGGCAGTCACACACCACTTTTCATGTTCCCGACTATAGTACTATAAAATTCTTTAAATTTAATTTATTTTACCATCCTTTGTAAAATTCAACTTGTTTATCTTCTATTAGATCTATATTGTTTGTACTTGATAATCTTTGTTAAAGATCAAATGAAAATATAATAACAATTAAATTAAATGATTACTGTTCTGGGTTTGTCACAAAATGGGTGGTTTTCATAGTAATCAAAGTATAATTTATTATGTAAAACTTAGTATACTTTTTGTTTATAGTACATTTTCTTTTGATCAATGAATATTGCTAATTTACAATTTTACATAACTTAATTAATTTGAATTTAATTAAATACTATGCAGTTTAAAAATATTAAATTAGTGATGTTCATTTTTTTAGTGATAATCTGTTAGGTATTTTTTTATATTATCTTAATACTTTTATGTTAATGATAAAAATTACACAATATAAATTTTGTTAGTTAAGCACAATAAGTAATAAATTGGACTTCTATTGAATATTTAAAATATTCTCCAATATTATAATAAAAATGCAACTGCAATTTTGTAAAATTTAAATTCTGCACTGAACTATAATAATTTTTATGAAGACATTTCAAAATTGTTTTAATATTGACATTTTAGTAATTTAAATGTTGTGTTTGTAATAGATAAATATCTTACATTCAATTTTACTCATTTTTAAAATATTTTTGATATTATTAGTTGCATTATTATGACATCACAACTTCTAATTTTTTAGCTAGGTGTAGATATTTTTTGATTTTTAAAGTTTAGTGAAAATTATATTAGCAACATAGAAATCCTTAATACTCATAAAAGGTTCATCATTTCTTTTTTAGCAATACATTTTAGATAAAACTTAAAATAAAATCAACCAATTTCCAGAATGTACAAACTGCATTATTTGTCATCATTTCATATTTTTAATTTGTTGAAGATTCCTTATGAATATGTTATTATTTTTTAATTGTAAAACTTATAACAGTTTAAATAATGTTATATTCTTTCATGTACTTATTATTTATTTAAATTTTAGGATGTCGCGGAAAAATGTAAATTATTGGGTATCACAGCTTTGCATATTAAATTGAGAGCTACTGGTGGAAATAAGACAAAAACACCTGGTCCAGGAGCACAATCTGCATTGCGTGCTTTAGCTCGTTCAAGTATGAAAATCGGCAGAATTGAAGATGTTACGCCAATTCCCTCAGATTCTACACGTAGGAAGGGTGGTCGCAGAGGTAGACGTTTGTAATTTACCAATTTTCATTTGTATTGCATACTGTGTTTATCACAAATATTAAATTGGATTTCTCTTTATACAAAGACTTATTTTTTTTCTTTAGTACTATTTAATTCCAAACAATTTCCTTATATTTCCTCAATGTTTTTTATTACTATATTATATCACTATAATTAATGGTGTGTATATAAAAAGTTATACCAAGGAAAGTTAAAAATATTATTCTATATTGCTTCATTTTTGTTATGCTTCATAAATAGTCTTATTTTATTAAAACAAAAAAATAATAATAATTTTAATAAATCAGTTTAATTTTATTATAATTAATTGAAAAAAACAAAATTAAAATTGAATTCTCTGCTAGACTTTATAATACTATATTTCAATATATATTAAATATAAATTGATGTGACTGATTTTCTAATATTATTTATATTGCAATGTGTTTAATCAAGTGTAATGGAAATTACACATTATTGATATATCTCTAAGTAGAATATTTTTTTTAGTATTTTAGTATACACAAATAGAATTTCAAACAAGTTAATTATCAGTTGTAACTTATAAAGTATAGGTATGATTAGACACTAAACAGTAGTGATATTAAATAAGTCTCAATAACGTGGTAAATGTTATCCATAAACCATTACACAAAATATTTAAGTTACAGTTACATAATTATGTTACTTTTCTTCTATTTTCATATTTTGATAAGTTCCTGTATAAATAATATTAATTATTCTTGTATTTGATATTCTTACCATATTATGTTATCTAGTATCTACCTACTGCACCTTATTTAGGAATTTAATATGCTATTTACAAGATTAGTATAATCTGTAATATTTTTGTTATAACAAATTGTATTATAGTAGTTCAATATTGTTTTTAAGTTTTTTCCATATAAATAAAATTAGTCTGTCAGTCTTTTTTTAGTCATCTGTATTTAGGTTAACCGTGGTCAGTGGTTATTTGTACTATTATTTTTATCATCAATTTGAATGTTACAACTTTGAGTTATTTATATTGAAATATATCATTCAAAATGAGAATATGATGTATATATGCTTTTTAAAAACACTTAAACGTGTGATAATCACTTTACAAACATGAAATTCTGTTAAATTTAAAAATACAAAACAATTTGTGGTGTTGAATGAGAGAATTTCTTTATCATAAATCGAGTTAAAAAAAAAAAATGTATAACCAATATTTAATACCAAATAATTATACTTGCAAGCATTTACTATACATGAAATAATTATATAAATATTTTCTTTCTTTGTGCTATATAGATGTTTGAAATTTTTGATTTAAGTATAATAAAATTGTATTAACACTAACTCATAAATGTCTTACCTCATATTGAAAATACATAAATAACCGTAATACATTTTTTGTAAACATTTAATAAATTATGAAATTCATAAAAAATTAAAAATTAGTTTTTAGTTTTAAATTATAACATCCAAGGTTAAAAAAATTAATACAATATTCCTTCTAAGTTTATTTAATGAGTAATCAGATCAGATAATCAGATATAGGGATAATAACGATTTATCCTCATTCATTTTTTTATTATTTAGTTATATAACTCAAAAAATTATTTATTACAGAAAATTTCTTACAAAATTATGTATAATACATAATGATTAACCATTGACTTCAAATTCAGCTATTACTTTGAGTTACGCTCGACGGCTTGACATCTTCTATTCACTGTATAGCAATTAGCAGAGTGGTTAACTAACTCACTTTTTTTTTTGTCAAAAGATATAGATAGAAAGTGTAATTATGGTTACGAAATTCGAGGTAATTACAAAAGTATCATGACCAAGTAATCAACTATAACCAACTACTACAATATTTATAAAATATAAAAAGAAGTAATGAGTTCAAAAAATCCGAGAAAATGTGACTAATGTGAGGTCCTATCATAAATCATAATTTTGCAAATAAATGAATCCTTAATCCAATTATGTAAAATGATATATAATTGTGGAATATTACGTCTTGGATATTGCGAACCAGGTGAAGATATAGTCGATAGGTATAGATAGCTTGGATGAAGACAATGAAATTAAAGTAGGTAAATAAACAATAAAAATTATGGATAACGAATTCAAAAGTAAATATTTTAGGTTTATGTTGTATGCATGATTTTTGAAAAGACGTCTTTTTAAAGTAAGAAATCAAATTAAGATTGAAATATCTTAAGGAATACTAATCCTATTAAATTAAGTTGTACAAAGTAAATACAACCTAACATATATGTACCTATTACATTTTATTTAAGGCGGCCATACTTAAAAATACGAATTTGTCCATAACGATAATATTAAAAATTCAGAAAATTCCATCAACTCAATGACTGACACCGAAACTCAAACGATAAATACTTGGGAGACAAGTAAACAATAAATACATTATGATAAGCGGAGCCACAGTAAATAATTTATTTCAAACTCAACTACAGGAAGAGCCACCACTCGACGCTTATCTGTTGTAAAACCACACCTACAGAAAAATTGTGTGAATCATTTCTTAAAAATTTAAGTAATAAATAACCTACACACTAAATGATAACAATACATTATTGAAAAAAATGTTTAAATAAAAAAATTGTATTTTAAAGGTTTAAAAGTTTTTAAGCTTTTATTTGTAGATCACATTAGACTAACATAATATGAAAATAGATAGCAAATTTTATGAGCACCTTATATTTACATAGTTACTTATTGTATTATATTTTTATTTTTATTTTTTTATCAAAAAAAATATAAAATTCAAAAACTTATAATACACTTCTTGTGTGTTATACCCCCTCAACCATATTTGATTTTATTATGTTCTATTAATCAAGGTACATTATATTAAATCGTCTAGGTAACTATATTTTTTATTTTGTCAATAAAATATACTATTTTTAATCTGTTTAAACATTTATATTCTCACGATTAAATGACGTGATTAAAGCAAGAGCCAATATTTTAGTGAAACTACTTAAAAACTGTAATGTTACGCGTGATGTATTTTTTTTTTTGTTTAGGCACTGAAAATTAGTTATCGAGTTTATCTATTGGTTATTTTTACTTGAAGCAACTTGGAGGATTAACAGGGAGAGTAAAGGCTGAACATTTAAATTGTGCGTGATTGCTGTAAAATTTCTTTGAAGTATAGGAAATTATAGAGTTGGTATTGTTAGAATTATTATACAGTGCAATATTAGTGATGAGACGAAGGTTTAAGGATTGAAAGCATTGGAGGATTTTTATACGTCAAAAGTTTTGGTTGCACGACTTAATTGGGTGTTATACTTTTAAACCATTATTGAACGAATTATACAATTGCTTACAATAAGATAAGTTTTTTATAAAGACTAAAGAGATTTGTTTGATTTTAAAAATTATCCGAGTTGATAAAGTCTAAAATTCTAAAGTTGAGTACCTAATTTGTCTTACTTTTATTTTTAGTTGTATGAGGTTGACTCGTTTAAATTTGTACATCGTTTTCCAAGTTAATATTAAGACATATTTTGTGGAGGATTAAATCATTATTAATCTTTATTTGAGTACTTACTGGTTTCAGAGCGGTGTTTGTTTTACCAAGTTCAAACCAGTATTAAAATTCATCAAGTTGCCAATTTTATATTATTTTTTAGCTCGTACTATTATATTGTAATAAATTATTCACGCCTTAGTTAGTTATTTTAAATTTGTCACTTTAATGATATACGTTCCTCCGTCGCCAAGAAAAATAATGCTTATGATTATTGACGATATCCGCATGAAAATTATTCTTTTTGTCATTATTCTATTAAAGTATTAAGGTTCGTGATATTATGGCAAGTAGAGTTTCAGGGTCGATACCTACACATTATACGTGTTTTACGGGATTTATAGGTAGTAATAACTAATAAAAACGAAATTCCAAATCGTGTTTTTAATCCATCTAATATTTTTAGATATATACATTGATATTATGTTATTATGGATTTGAAGCGTTAATAATTATTAGTTATAACTTATAAGTGTTAAGTAGGCAATAACTAATAAGTAAAAAGTATTACTTTTATAAATTTCAATCTAACTAATAGTGCCGTTTAACCATTTTGATAAAAATATAACAGAAGTGTTAGAATTTTAACTATATTTTCACATATTTTATTTTATTGATGTTTATTTTTTATACTTTAAATTAAGCTATACGTTCATTTAAGGGATTATTCTAATAGCCTGATACAATATTAAATCGAAAGTGCATCTAGTTTATTTGTCATTCTTTATGTTATAAGCATCAAGTTTTGGTTGTCTTGTAGATATTTTACGATTGACGAATTAAGAAAATAAGTAAGTACCAACAGTACCATTATAAAACATATCGTCAAGACGCCAAATAAATAATAATAGATTAATTAAAAGTTAACGTTTCCTCAGTTTCCTGTAATTTATGAAAATAGCTGATAATATATCGTTATCAGTCACGGTTATCAATATGCGTAGATAAAAGAAAAATACGTATTATTATTTAGAATGTGAAAAAATATAAACATTTAATATGCACAAAAATAGAAATAAATTATTATATAATATTATAATGATAGACGATAAAGTAACCGATCAATTAGTTTACACGAGAACTAATTAGTAAAAAAAAAGTAACAAACTTAAAGCGTCAACGTTTAACACCCAACAATTTTTTACATAGGGATTGGGCTAATAGCCACTTGCTTTTTTTTCAATAGTTGCTATTAAAAAAATATTAAGTTGCTACATATTTGCTACTTGCTATTATTATAATTTGTATTGTTATTCTGCTATTGCACTTATTGCAGTAATGCAGAGTATAGACAATGCAGTATTTCCTATTAGAGTGTGGACACTTGCGGTACTTGCACATCGCTGACATTTGAGGTTATGTAGCTTATAACGTACGTTTCCGATGCATAGGTTTCCGTTTCGAAGTTTGTGCAGTTGTAGCTGAACGCGCACCCTACATCCATATTTTGTCCTTGACGAAAAAAAAAAAAAAAGAACTGTTGTTGTTCTACTGCCTTCTTTACAGTTTTCAGTTCGGTAATCGGCGCGATGATTTAATGATTGTTTTCTCAACCGATATTTTTTTCGTTCGAAAGTGTATTGGTTTTTGTGAATTGTGTTTTCGTCGGGTGATTTTCGAATAATTTAAGAAAATTACAGTGCCAGTGTTTGGAATATTTATTTGGCGATATAGTTGAATCGTATCCGCGAACAAATGTGCACGACGATAAACCTGTTATCATTTTACGACGAGCCCAAGTGGTCGGTAAGTCTTTTGCCTTTATTGTTTTCATGTATCTTTTTAACTGTGTGCCAATTTAAATTTAACTTCTTAATCGTAAAATTCGTATTATGGCACTAAATTTTATTTCCGGTTGGTATTTTGCAATCGAGCTAAAAATGTTTTGATGGTCTAAGTAAATAATTCAAATTTGTGATAAATCAGCTGATGGCTATAAGTCTATTGTAGGCTTAAAGAATATATTTTCAGAGGATTTTTTGAGGTATCTATTTGAATATTGTCAATTTATATTAAAATATTTAATAAATAACAGATATATATATATTGTGTGATAAATATCGTATGAAATAGTATATTTTATCCAGTAAAATTGTATGTACCTAATTATAAAAAATAACTTAGGAAAAAAATAAAACATTAAACATTTTTCATTAGTTCCAGTAGTTTGTGTACCTTGTCTAATTATTTCACAACTATCAATTTACCTACTCTCATATAATTGTAAATAAGTAGAAATAAAGTATGAATTAATTTGTAAAATTGCAAGTTGTTAGCGTATCTATTTTAAAATAATCATAGTTCTTAATATTACTTTTATTCTATTCATTCCTAAATTTGTTTAACATTTTAAAATATGATCATTACTTAATATTCTAATGCAGATTATGTACAAATTATATGTGTTATGTGTATGACACTCATTATAGATTATATTGGACACAAATATATTGAACAATTAATTTAAATTTATAGTTATGCAAATATACTTCAAAAAATAATTTTTATACCATTAGAATACCTGCTTGATATTTTAAAAGTAGTGAATGTATAATAAGAATGCTATAATTTTATCTATAATTGTGTTGCTGATTTAACTACCAGGTATTTAATACATTTAAAACAAATAAACAATGTTTTTTTTTTTCAAGAATTTGAGCTATTAATTTTTGAAATACTTATTATTTATATGTGTATTACCTAATTTATCTTTTTAAATTTAAATATCCATAAATAAATAATAAATACCTCAATATTTTTTAATAATTTGTAGTTTACAAAGTCATAAGTTACCTAGGTGCATATTGAATACATTTTTTGATTAATATTTATATATATTATTATTTACTTGTAGGTACTGAAGTTTAAAGTATGAAACTATCAATATAAGAATACTTAATTAGGGGAGTTGTCTAGTGTATTTGCAAGGCCAAAATAATTTTAAAGGCTATAACAATTACTATATTAGTGTCATTACTCATTTGTTGTATGCCCATAATATTTATTTATTTATTACCATTAAAAGTGTATAAAGAACTTAGTACTTACCAACATATAGTTTAAAGATTCTTTGTTTTGAATTTTATACATTTTTTATTTTATCAGGGTACTTATTACCTAGCTGCTAAATATTAAAATTTTTATTTTTTTCTATAATAAGAAAACATATTTACAATTTGTACATCTATTTTAATACAATAAGTATCTATACTTTGTCCAGTAAAAGAATGTGACAATTCTGCTCATCAATGACAACCTGCTATAATCAAATTAATCTTGATAACAGGCGTCTAAGTAGAGATGCATAATAGAACTACTTTTCATTGGGCAGCAAGTTGTTTTCTTGCCAGATAGAATATTATATGTATACAAAGACATATGGACAGTCAGGTCGATTGAGATGTTTATTGACACTATTTCAAAGATTTTATTTAAATACCAACATTCTTAAAAACAAAATGTTTTGCATCATTATTGAAGCACTTTTTTTTGTTTTTTTATCTCAAAACTTTAGACCAAGATTTTTATAATAAGATTTCGTTTTTTAGTTCCTCTCTGAAGATTTTTTTCAATTATATAGCTTCTCTGCATACAGGCTATAGCATATTATATATCCAATACATTATCAAACACCCAAATGTTTTTGCCAAAAACCTGAATTAGCGTTTTCCAGTTTTTATTTTCTAATTTTTATTTTGGCCACTTCTTCTCCTGTATCTGAATTTTAATCCCACATTTTGATATGTTTATTTTATCTTTTAAACAATCTTATAAAATCTAATATATTTTTATAAAAATTTACTAAATAACTTTTTAATTATCAATAAATAATTGACTTAGAACCTTGGCATCTGTAAGACTGGTCTTGGCCAAACTGCTAGCTAATTGCACTTTTGTGGATTTAGAAAGAGACTTAGTAATTGTCGTGATAACAACTGCGACAATCTGATATGAAATTTCTATTTCCAATATCTCTAATTAAATATAATTTAATTTAAATTAATATATTATATTAGGTACCTATGTGTAATATATTATGTTAATAATTTTTATATAATATAAGCATATGTAAATAATTAACTTTAGTGACTTATCTGCTAGTTGTCCAATAATTTCATTATAAGCATAAACTTTTACACAAAGTATATTTAATTGGTAACTATCATTACCTAAATTAAATAAATGTTAATATATTGTTCTCAAAGATTAATAATAATTTAATTTACAGGGCTTATACTTGCAATTTATATTATACAAAAAATGTGTAGTTCAGTATTAACATAGTAGTTTATGTTTTTTATAATTATTTACACTAAAATTGATGAAGTAAATACTCTCAGTGAATACAATAATTAATATAATTATAAATTCCATGCTTATTATATTAATATAAGTACCTTTCTATTATAGGTGTCTCAAAAATAACACTGGATTTAAATCTGCTATAAATCAAATTTATTTAAGCGAAAATAACAAAAAAAATATATCGTTCTTTTTAGAAGAGGTTGAAATTTAAACATGAAAAATAATATCGGGCATATGGCGCCCTCCCCTACTAGTCCTATACGTGATCACTTGATCCATGAAATTCTTCATCACCCGATCACATATTGGTGGGGGGGCATATGCCCGATATTATTTTTCATGTTTAAATCTTAATCTATCTGAAAAGAATGATATGTTTTTTTTTGTTAGTTTTTTTTACTTAAATAAATTTGATCTATAACAGTTTTAAATCTGACATTATTTTTGTGACACCCTTATAAGGTTAGTGTTAAAAAGGGGGCAAGTGGGTACCGCTCTGCTGTACATTAGGGGGTGACGTGAACCTCGGACTAGGGTAGGTTAAATTTGAATGAAATTATAAGTATCATTGTATATGAAAAACGATTCTGAACGGAGATGATTTGTCAGTCTAGGATATATTATATTTAAATATTGTCAAAAATTCTATTTTGAAACAAATATTTTATTTTTCAATTAGGATGCATTTGCAAAAGTCATGGTTAATCAATTAACTATTAATTTTTATGAATTATACTTACAAAATAGTTTGCAAATATTCATGGTTTTGACGAATTTTTGTCAATATTTGAACTTAAATGCTAATAAAAAAAAATTGTGCCTATGTATTCTTAACAATTTTTTATCATTATAAGAATAACTTATGAGAAACTTTGTATTAAATTTTCAAGTATTTTGATAGGGCTAAAAAAAGTCAAAATATTTTGAAAATTAAATCATGTAAAAAAAATGCCAAATTAAATAATTGGTAAAATTTTCAAGTATCTACGACTTATACTTTTTGAATTTTAACAAATATTTATAACTGTTATCGTAAAATCGTTATCTTTACGCTATTTCGTAAAAATTTAAAATTCAAACGCACTTAAAATTTTTCCTATAATGATGCTTCGAGTTTTTACTATAGCTACTTAAAGGAAAACTTAAAGAAAATATAGTGTAGTATTTTTAATCCTTAGTTATAAACACAAATAATTTTATGATTTTTCAACTTCAAAATTACTTACAAATTTTCGCGTTTTCGATAGATTTCGTAAATATTTTAACCATAAACGTTTATAAAAAAAATTGTGACTAACGATTTTTAATTTTTTTAGCTACAATAAGAACAACTCATAAGGAACCTTGTATTAAATTTTCAAAATTTTTTGGTCATCAAACATTTTTTTATCGACACTTCAAAAAAAAATTCTCATAAAAATCGATAATTTCAGTGGTCTATAAATAACTCAAAAAAAGTCAAAATTTTTTGAAAATTAAACTGTATATAGATAACACTAACATAAACACTTAGTGAAAATTTCAAGTATTTACAGTGATTAGTTTTTGAATTACAACTATATGAAAAAAATCAATTTGGTCGAAAACTGGTTTTGCGTAAAAATTCCCGTTTTTCCGTAATTTTTTTTTTTTTGTTTTTTTCGATTTTTTTGAAAACTATTAGAAAATGTTTACTTTTTACCTCTATAATGCACCAAGGATATTCACTTTGCCATCGGAAACCACCCCCGAAATTTGAAATTGAAGCATTATTTCGACTACTTATGCTGTACACAGACAAAAAAAAAAAAAAACACATCATTGTAAAATCAATACATTCATCACTCCGTTCAAAATCTAAAAATGATATACAATATTATTAAATAAGTTTATTTTAAAAATTCACATTACATACCTACAATTGTAGGTATTTATTTTAATTTCAACTATTATAACAAGTAATTATTAACTAAGAAGGTGATATACCTAATTAGTAATTAGTATGCTTGTTAAGTTAATATTAGTCATTAACATCGCATAAGTTGTATTTCAAAATGTTTAAAAATTGGTAAAACGCCTGGAAATTTATTAAACTTATTTTAAATAATTACTTACTAATTAAACTGTTTAAATATTCTAAAAAATAAAAAAATAGTTAATAGAAATATAATTTAGTATGCTAGTGATACTGGCTTAAAAATCTGATTATAGAATGTAAGTCGTAAATAAAAAACTGTATTATTTATGTATGGGTACAACTGTACAAGATAATTTTTGTAACTAAATCACTCATAATTACAAAAACTATTATTTTTTGTAGTATTTTAATGAATTTTGAACAAATATATTTTTAATTAGTACCTATTAGTTTACTTAAGTATAACTGTATTTGAAGTTTAGATGTACAAAATAATAGACTTAATATTTTTCTAAGTACTTCTATTTACACTGCTTTGCTTATATATAAAATGTTCTAATTTTGGATATGAGATAAAAAAAAACGTATGTCGTCATTTCAAAAATTTAAAAAATAGTAAAACACAATATATAACAATTATTTGCTGCATATGATAACATTTTTATTTGTCTGGCTTATACATAATATATTTAAAAATATAACATTTTTTTTTTTCAAGTTTGTTGATTTAAGCTAATCTTTATTTAACTATATTCATTTTTATAAAATGTTTCAAAAGTTATAAAAAAATATAAAATACCTAAAAGTTTCATTTATAAATTCTCTGCTGTCAAAAAACAAATTTTCTTCTTGGCATCAATGTTTTAGATATCTTAAAAGAAAAATGTAATTTATATTTAAATCTGCATTTAAATAATAAGTAATGCATTATTTTGTTACAGGACATTAATCATATAGATGAGTTGCATAACAAAGAAGTATAGCACTTAACAACAATTTACCATACAACCTCAGACAAATTTATCATCTAAGAAAATGGCTGCTGGGTCACCCCACGATTTAGATGGTTTTTTACCTCTGTTATCAACTTCTGATATAAGAATGAAAGTAACTGTTGGTGGTAAATTATTTACTTATTTAGAAGAACCTAGTAATTCTGTTGAATGTTCTGATATTGGAATGTTTATTGATGGGGTTGTTCAATGGTTATCAAATAGCAATCCCAAAGTTACTCAATATGGAATTGAAATAATAACACAGTTGATAACTAGAATGAGAACGGATTTTAGACCATATATTTCTACTGTATTACCACTAGCTGTCGACCGTCTTGGTGATAGTAAGGATTCAATTAAAGTCAAAGCACTTTTTCTTATTATGAAATTAATGGAATGTGATACAATTAGCCCTCAGGCATTATTTGATAAAATATCAGCTAATGCATTCTATCATAAAAATAGTAATGTAAAAGAAGGAGCTATGAAGTTATTATTATCAACTGTTGAAGAATTTGGTGCCAATTGTATCACTATATCAAAAATTGTACCCATGATTGTAAAACTTTTAAGTGATCCTAATGTTCAAGTAAGGCATAAAGCATTTGAAACACTTGTTGATTTGTATAAACATGTTGGAGAAAAATTACGTGTTGATATACAAAAAAAATATACAATTCCACAAGGTAAAATGACCGATCTGATGAATAAATTTGATGATGCTAAAGCAGCTGGAGATTTATTGCCAACTGCTTTTGTTGGACTTAGCTTAGCTGATGATGATGAGACTGATCGTGCTTGTATGTCAGCACCTAGACGCATTCCTGGTAGTGTTAAAAGACCTGGTTCGTTTTTTCCTCCAAATTCTGCAACACCTTTACAACGAACTGGTTCTGTAAAAAAACCCAATTCAGCGTCTTCTACCTCTTCTCATGCTGGTGCTGTTGATGAAGATACTTTTATTCGATCCTTTGAAGATGTTCCTACAGTACAGATTTTTAGTGTACGAGATTTAGACGATACTATGAAAAAATTACATGAGTCTATCCAAGATGGTAATGAACAATGGAATAAACGAGTTGAATCATTAAAAAAAATTAGATCACTTGTATTAACTGGTTCAACAAAATATGAAGAGTTTTTCAATAATTTGAGGTATTTAGAACATTCCTTTCAAACGTCTGTCAAAGACTTGAGATCTCAGGTTGTTAGAGAAACATGTATTACTATAGCATTTTTATCTCAACGTTTGGGTAATAAATTCAATCACTTTGCTGAATCAATTTTTAGCAATTTAATTGATCTTATACCAAATTCAGCAAAAGTAACTGCTTCATCTGGATTAATCGCTATAAGATTTATATTAGAACATACTCATGCTCCTCGTATTATACCTATTCTTGCAAATAGTCTAGGATCTAAGTCAAAAGATATTCGTCGTGCATGTTGTGAATTCTTTGATCAAATTTTACGTACATGGCCAACTCAAGCATTAGAAAGACACATCACAATTCTTCAGGATTCCATTAAAAAAGGTATAGCAGATGCTGATTCAGACGCTCGAGTGTTGTCACGAAAATCTTACTGGGGATTTTGTGAACATTTTCCTGAACAAGGGGAAATATTATTAAATAAACTAGAACCAGCATATCGTAAAGTATTATTAACAAATACCGGATCAAATTCATGTTTACCAAAATCTGTAATGGCTGAAAGTACAAGATTACCTTCTCGTCGTCCAGTTACTCCACAAAGTAACATTTCAATGAGATCAAGCAGTGCCATAGATTTACAAGCTGCACAAAGGGCAAAAGCTCGTGCTCAATATGCAGCACTTGCTAGACAAAAAGTTAATCCCATGGTGTCCCCTCAATCTGTTACCAAAAAACCTAATGAAGATATGCATCAATCTGAAAGAATTGGGAGATCAAGAGGAAGAGTATCAATATCTCAACCAACTAGTCGTTCAGGATCACCATCTTCAAGATTTACTTTTGGCCAACCAAAATCACGAAGAGGCAGTTCTGGTATACCCAGATCTCAAGATACTAGTAGAGAAGCTAGTCCTAATAGGTATAGTTCCCTTGGATCACACACAAGTAATAGAAGGCCACCTATTTTGCCTACGTCTAGACCGATAATGGCTCAGAAAATATTAATGCAAAGTCGAGAAGCAGAATCTGCCCTGGCTGATGCTCTTGGAAGTACTACTGGTCATAAATCACCAAGAAAAATATTAGGAAGATCATTAGATGATCATAGCGATGAAAGTGAGACATCTAGCATTTGTTCTGAGCGCTCAATTGATTCTCATCGGCGGCCTTCAGATTCATTTTATTGGAATGGATCACAACATCGCTTACATAAAGACATTTGGGAGAACTCTAGTTTAGATATAGATGATATAATATTGAACTGTGAAAGTTCAAACTGGAATAATCGCAAGGAAGGCTTAGTAAGCTTACAAAGATATTTGCAACAAGGAAATATTTTAAGTGAAGTGTTATTAAAGAGGCTAACAGATATATTTACTAAAATGTTTATGGATTCTCAAACAAAAGTTATAAGTCTGTTTTTGGATGCTCTAAATGAATTAATTGTTACCCATAGTCAGTATTTAGAGCACTGGTTGTATATACTTTTAGCCAAGTTATTCAATAAAGGAGGTTCTGATATACTTGGTTCTGTTCATTCAAAAATATTAAAAACAATGGAAATTGTAAGATTATCTTTTCCTTGTGATTCTCAGCTAACTGCAGTGTTTAAATTTCTCACAGATCCTACACAAACTCCTAATGCCAAAATGAAAATATTTGCTATGAGTTATATATCAAAATTAGCTGTTACAACAGATCCAGGATCAGCATTTCCTTCTGCGGCAGATGGTAAAAAAGATTATGCTACTCTAGCTTTAACAAAAATGATTGGATGGACTATGGGTAATAATATAAAACAAGGACCTGAATTAAGACGTGCTGCTCAAGAATCTATTCTTGCATTGTACAGTTTAAATGCATCTCAAATCACATTAAGATTATCCCAGTTACCAGAAGAGTATCAAGAAGCAGTTTCTGGACTCATTAAAAACAGAGTGAGAAGAAGTAGTGTTGATCAATTAATGTCTCCAAAATATCATAATCGACAATCCCCAACTAGTCTTGCTTCACCACCTTTACAACAAGACAACACTGATGCTTTCAATTCAGAAGAAATTTACAAGTCATTAAAACAAACCACTGCTGAAATACAAAAGTACAGTTTAGAATGTCATTATACAGGAGAGAGAGATGCTGCTTCTTATGACTCTGGAATAAGTCAAATGTCAGTGCGTACTGAAACTGATAATCATAATTTAAATGGTTATAAAAATGGTCATACTACAAACACAGATGGAATTATCAAAATATTAGATGATTTAGATAAAGAGAATCTTCAACTGGATTATAAACAATCAAATTTAAACCGTTTAAAAGAATTAATTAGAGATGGCCCTTCTGATCTTCTTGTTAAAAATTTCAAAAAAATTATTAAAGTTGTTTTGAAATTATTAATGGACAATGAACCAATTGTACGAGAACAAGCTATTATTTTGATAACGTATCTTGTTCAAAAGCCAGAAATGGTTACTTGTTTTTACAATTTCACTGAATTAATTATATTAAAAGTACTAAACATGTGTTGTGATCCCTGTAAACCTGTTGTAAAAGTTGCTGAAGAATGTTCATTTGCCTTAAGTATCTCTTTACAACCAGAAACAGTGGTTAGAGTAATAACACCATTGATATCGGCAAAAGAATTTCCTGTTAATTTGATGGCAATCAAGATGATGACTAAACTGGTTGATATGTATGGTAGTCCTCCAGTAGCTCTTCAAATGAAGGAGATAATGCCTGGTTTACTACAAGGCTATGATAATCCTGATAGTGCGGTTCGAAAATCAGCTGTTTTTTGCATGGTTTCATTACATAAAGTATTTGGCGAACAGGAATTTGCACCTCATATATCAAGTTTGAATGGCGCCAAGCTCAAGCTGTTGAACTTATACATTGAACGTGCTCAACAGTCTTCTCCAACATCGCCTAAAACAACTTCATAAATTAACTATTAATAATATTTATTAACGAACAAAATAATAAAAATCCTATAAAGGTATTCCATTAGAAGTTTTAGAAACTTGTATGTGATATTCAAGTTGCTTCTTTTACCTAACATTGGGATGCTCAAAAAAACATTAGTACTTTAGTCATTATTAACTATCGCCTTTTCAAACTCAACCACATAACAATGTTTTACATTTTAATATTTGATATTTTTTAATCACTAACTAGTGTAAAGTTAATTATTGTATCTAAACTACAATTTTAACCTTTTGTCAAACCATCACATCTCTTAATAATAATAAATTAAGGGATTGTCTATTAACCAAAAATATATAATTATTTTTATCCAGTTGTAAAATAAAATTTTGTAACTGTACAAGTTTGTTTTTTAATATATTGCTATTGGTTGTATTATTACTATTGACTTGTTAAGATACTATTATAAACTTTTTTTTTTAGTATAGTTCTTGAAAATCTATTTTTAAATAACTAAAGTACTGATTTCTATTAATTCATTTCTATTAATCTGTTTTGTTTATAATACTTTTTTAAGTTTAAACTCATTTGTTGTCATATATAGTGTGTTTCTGTTAATATCAGGCTATCAACAAGTATTATTGCATTAGTTAAATTTTTTTTATTTAATTATATTTCATCCTTTGTAATAATATGTGGCTTAACTTATTTATTTAGTCACATAAATAATTTAAAATATATTATTATACCTTTATAATGCATACATGTTTTGTTTAAATATATTGTGCCACTATTTTCTTCAGTGATTTTGTTAAAAAATATTGTGATAATTGTAATATATTAGTTCAACTAATTTTTATTTCCGTTTACTCTATGAAAAATAATTTACAGAACAATGTAATAAAACAATTCATGTGAACCTATGATAAATTAAAATAAAAAAAATGAGTAACTACATTATCATTATGTTTGGAGATATTTTGTCGATAGTTTTTTTCAAAATAATATTTTTCTCTCCAAAACTATGTATTGTTTTATTATTAAATTAAGATTTAGTCAAGAAATAAATGTTATTTCGTTTTTTACGGTTTGTAGTTTAAGTAAATTATAAACAAAATGTTATATATGTCAAAATTTATTGATTGTGTTAGTGGCACGCTAATTTATTGTGTAAAAATATATACTGATGAATTATTAAAAAAAAAAAATGTCATACATTTATAATAGATTTTTTACAAAAAAACTTAGTTTCTACTTGTGAGTCTGTAGAATAATAAATGCATTATACTTCCATTATAATTTTTTGTGATTTTATTATTTTATTTTTATGGTAACTACTATTGTTGTAATGTTATTTTAATTTTTGTACAAAAGCCATAATAAAATTAAAACCCAATAAAATTAATTGTTTTATTTCTTTCCTATTTCCAAACTTTAGTATTGGTGCCTATTTAACGTTATCTGTATTATTTGTATGATAGACATGTATTGTAATATTTCAGTTACAGTAACTAATCGTAGACTGTGGCTGTGGAACGTACAAGCTGTGTGATTCAAAAGCAAGTCTACTTTTAAATGTCTTGCGACGAATTGATCTTAATATCTGAGATCGAAAAAAGTAAATATTAATCATGAGTTCATGTCGTTCATGACAATAAAAAAATAAAATACCGCTGCTGAATACTGACGTTTGCGTGCCATATAACAATATTAATGCCGAGTACGAACGTACAATAATTTCTAATGCCTGTTAAAATGTTTAAATAGGCCTAGGCCTAGTTTCTACTGCAATTTATTTTTCCGTAGTTGTGGGCGTGTTCGCGCGCCACGTCTCGCCATTCTCCCACCATTTACCTAGAACATCGTGAACCATAACCATACGAAATATTTAAAATATAAAATTTTAATCAACAGTAATTCAATGGGCTGCAGATGAGCTAATTATTATTGTCGTAGTTATAATTTATGACTGTTAAAAAGACGCAAGTCGTTATTCTGGAACAATAAATATCTTCATTTGGTGTGGTTGTACTTGCGTAGAAATAAAAAATATAAAATAGCTACCCACATGGCTGTGTAATGTATTATTCAGTAGGTGTTGTCTTGAAAAGTATTCAGTGTTTTGAACTGGGGGTGGAAACTTGCCGAACTTGGGTTATTGACTATTGTATAAAGTAGCTTGTTCCAAAAACAAAAATAATGACGTAGGTACCTAGTCACGTTTGGTACCTATACGGTTTTTTTATCGATGATTATTATGATTAAGACTTAAAATATGTTATTTTTATGTTTGCAACAAACTAATCATTAAACATGCAGTTCGTGTTATTTGATGTTCTTAAGAGTAATTTCCTAATTCTCAGTTTTCTATAAGTGAAGGAACGTGTTTAATTAATAATTTTAATTTAGACATTTCGCCTTATTTTAATTTATTTGGCTTAAAAATAAAATAAAAATATTTAAACTGTTTTATAGCTTACGTTTGATTGTATGTAGCCCACGAAAAATTATGTTCACAAGTTGATGAATAATTAATTGGCAAAGAGACGACTACTTGTATAAAATTAAATAATTAAGTGAATATATATGTCTCAAACATCACGATTTATTCTGTTTTTGGTAGTTTCCGATTGTATGGTAATAAAATCTTGAGATATTGTCAACACGATTATTATAATAATATGATTCAACGAAAATTCCCAGTCACCAATCAAGATTACAGGACATAGACCTATGATTCCGGATTCGGTCACAGTTTAAAATTTTAAAATTAAATGTTCAATTCCGTTGATGGATTTGTGATTTGGCGGCAAACAGCGATGGTAAATTATGATACCTAATAAATACCTATCGTATATTATCGTGATTATCACAGAACCCCGTTATCTATGGTGTTTACGTGTGCTGATAAGTGATAACCTATAATTCTTTAAAATTGCAGTCTGCTAGTCTGCAAAGTAGAGCAAACTGCTAAGTCGAACAGCGTCAATCGACCTGTCAGCGTGAGACTACGGTTGTGGTCGTTTGATTATTAAGGTATACTTAAAGTGTCGAAAGTTGCAAAAATGTCGCAAGCAGCCTTTGAAATAAGCGAATTCGAGTTATTGAACGCGAAGAATTCGTGGATATCCAAGTCTTGTCTAAAAGATACCAATAAAGTTGAATGCCGACCAGTGTAAGTTTAATCGTCATTAATTGCTTTACACTTTAATTTTTACTAATAGGTTTGAATGTTTAAAATCGTTTAAACCACGCTATTGCACAGTATTTAAAAACGATTCGCTGACTATTACTTCATTATTCTGTAGTGTTTAACAGGTTAAAAACAAAACATAATAAATATCTATAATTTTCAAATGAGTATTATTAGTACAATTATTATTAAATATGTTAAGCTATGTAATACATAGTTAAGTTTTTTCTTGGTAAAAATAAGTTTTGCTTAATGTGCATCTATCTGTTTGATTAAATGTATACCTAATTGATATAACAAAAATAGATTAAAATTTGTTTAAAGTATAAAAAAATATTTTTTTTACTTGACTCAATGTTTATTACATCTACAATATTTTACAAAATATTTTATTTTTATCATTACTTTTATACTAAATAGGTAGTCAATATCTATTAATTTTTGTTAAAATAATTTCATATTGTAATGTTATAGGTTATAAATGTGCATTATTTCATTTATTTATGTTTTTATATTTTCATATTTATACTATAGATTACCTGTTAAAGACGAAAAAAATGTTCTTGTGACTTCAGCATTACCATATGTCAACAATGTTCCACATCTTGGCAATATAATTGGTTGTGTTTTATCTGCCGATGTTTTTGCGAGGTAATTTTTTTAAAATATGATCTGTCTAAATATTGGTCATTGATTATTAATTTATTATATATTTATATTGATATACATATGTGTTGTTTACTGAAGTATTTTACAATTTAATTTATTTTTATTTTAATATGGCAAGTTTCATTATACATAAACTGTATATTTAATACTATTAAATTAAGTATACTGAATATTATTCTCAGTAGTCAAAATGTAATAATATTGAATTCTTATTTAGTTATTTACCATTAAATCAAATTAATTATGGTATTTTCTTTTATTCAATAGGTATTGTAGATTACGTGGTTGGAATACATTATATATTAGTGGTACTGATGAATATGGTACTGCAACTGAAACAAAGGCCTTAGAAGAAAAGTTAACACCGCAACAAATCTGTGACAAGTATTTCAATATTCATAGTGAAATATATAAGTGGTTCAATATTAGTTTTGATCATTTTGGTAGAACTACATCATCGAAACAAACTGAGTAAAAATTATATCTATATAATTCTAAATTTGAATACAATATACATTAAATATTGATTTGTATTTCATTTAGAATTGTTCAAGAAATATTCAAGAAAGTACACAATAATGGCTATACTACTACTGCATCTATGGAACAACTTTTATGTGAAAATTGTGATAGGTATGTAATTTATTAAAATACATTTTTTAATCTTGATACCATTATTTTAATATTACTAATTATTTTGTTTCAGATTTTTAGCTGATCGATTTGTTGAAGGAACATGTCCTCTATGTAAGTACGAGGACGCTAGAGGTGATCAGTGTGATGGTTGTGGTCATTTAATAAATGCTACTGAACTTTTAAAACCTAGATGCAAGGTTTGTCAAAAAACACCAGTTATACGTAGTTCTCAGCAACTTTTTTTGAATTTACCCAAAGTTGAAGCTAAACTCAACGATTGGGTAGATAAATCTGGCGATGATTGGTCTTATAATGCCAAAGTGATAACTAAGTCTTGGTTGAAAGATGGTTTGAAGGAGAGATGTATCACAAGAGATTTAAAATGGGGAATTCCGGTTCCACTTGAAGATTTCAAGTCAAAAGTATGCAGTTAATTTCAATCTTTAAATATTTTTAAATTATTAGCAAAATATCTCTAATAACTAAGTTTATAGGTATTTTATGTTTGGTTTGATGCACCAATTGGCTACATGAGTATGAGTGCTGCTTATACATCAGAATGGCGTAAATGGTGGCAACCAGAAGACGATACTAAAATAACATATTATCAATTCATGGCTAAAGATAATGTGCCTTTTCATTCCGTTATGTTTCCAGTATGCCTTTTTTCTACTGAACAAAATTATACAATGGTCAATCATATAATGGCAACAGGTTTGTGGTTGTAAAGATGTTGAGCCTAACCAATATTTATATATATTTATTATTATTTTAGAATATTTGAACTATGAAGATGGTAAATTTTCTAAGTCCCGTGGTATTGGAGTATTTGGAAATGATGCTCAAGATACAGGGTTGCCTGCTGATGTTTTTAGATTTTACTTATTGTTTGTCCGTCCTGAATCTCAAGATAGTTCATTTAGCTGGGCCGATTTAGCTACTAAAAACAATTCTGAATTGTTGAACAATTTAGGAAACTTTTGTAATAGGTAATTTAAGTATACATTTTTGTATACTTATTTATTTATATTGTTTAGAAAAGCAGTATTTAGTTTTAAATAATTATTGAATACTAATTTGTAAATAACAAATATTTCAGAGCTTTATCATTCTTAGAAAAGTTTTTTGATTGTGTTGTTCCTGAAATTCAATTAGGACATGATGAACTCACTTTATTAGCATTAGTAACACGTGACCTCAAAGAATACATAAATATGTTGGATAAAGCAAAACTTAGAGATGGTTTACGACTCATACTTTCAATTTCTCGTCATGGTAATCAATACATGCAGTTCCAAAAACCATGGGTGTTAATAAAAGGATCAAATGAAGAAAAGTAATAACAAAATTTAAAATAGTATTTATTTTACTCGACTAATATTATAGTATAATTTTTTAGAATCAGAGCTGGTACAGTCATTGGACTAAGTTGTAATTTAGTGTGTTTACTAGCCGTTATGTTACAACCTTATATGCCACAAACTGTTGATGTAATTGGAAAACAGTTGAACATTGATATCTCTACGTTTTTATTAAATAACTTTGTATCAGTTTTCTTGCCACCAGGACATAAAATTGGAAAAGTATTATTCAACAGTTTTATGCTTATAAACAATGAACACTAATTTATTTTTATTTAAATCATAGCCAGCTCCATTATTTGAAAAAATTGATCCATCAGTCGTAAATCAATTAAAAAGTCGCTTTGCTGGGAAACAGAAATCACAGGAAAAAGAATTAGCAGTGGCTTCTGGGTTGGATCTTAAACAAATTACAACTGTAGAACAAATGGAAGAAGCTATTTCTAAACAAGTAAGTAAACTTATTTTAATAAAAGTTTTATGTTTAAAATTGTTTTTTAAACCATGAAGAAAAAAAGAAGAAATATTTTATAATTTTTATTATCTTCATTTAATGTTAGGGAGATACAGTGCGACAATTAAAGCAAAGTGGAGCTCAAAAAGGTGAATGGGAACCGTATGTCAAAACACTATTGGAGATGAAGAAAAGTTTAGAACAAATGAAATTAGCTTCCAATCCAATATCTATTGAAGATTTAGAAGAAGAAATTTCCAAACAGGTAATGGCAATATTGTATAGTAATTTGAGATTATTTATCAACAATATGTTTTATTCCATCAAATCTACCTAAATTTAAAGTTAGTATAGTGTACATTAACTATAATATGTATTATAATTACAAACTTATTGTCGATGTTAATAATTTGAAAAGTTAATCATGCATGTTAGTTTTCATTATATCATATTGTTGCATGATATTTATAAAACTTTTTTTATGTAAGTGGTATGTATGATATATGTATATAAAAGAAAATATTTCATTTAGTAATTTCAATGTCTTCTTAGTTTAGTTGGCATCTAGAGCATAGACTAACATTATCTCTCTAATACTAAGTAATGATTGATACATTGTTTCATTGCTAACTGTTCAGTACTCAATATATATTATACAACTTTAGACGGAACTATTGGTATGATATAATGTATGCAAGTAGATGGAACTTGTTTCCAGGACATAATTTTTTAAATTGTACAAAGCAATTTCCCTTATTGTGTTTAAGTTTAAGCTGTGTTTTTGCACGATTAAGCCTCTCAATCTACAGAGTAATTCTATCCAGTTGTATATATTTGTGATATATCTATTTTTCACAATGTGCGCAACCATACATTGAATATTGTGGACAAACTCAGTCAGTTATATTATTCTTAACAGTTAATTATAAAATATTTTAACTTAGTGGTTTTCTTCTTTGTATTTTTAATCTTCATTTATGTGGTAGTGTAGTTAAACAATATTTGAAATAATATGATAAATACTAGCTGTTAATATAAAATTCAATTAGTAAAACTTAATTTATTATTGAACTGTATTTAATTTAAATTAAAAACAATTGGTTTACTATAAAATTGACTAACCTGCATATTATTAAATACTAAATAGATAATCTTTTTTATTATTATATTTACTAAATTTGAATAATTTATTGACAGGGCGACAAAGTACGAAAACTAAAGGAAGCAAAAGTTGAAAAAAGTGAACTACAGCCTGAAATTGATTTACTGATACAATTGAAATCTAAATTATCTATATCAAAAGGTATTCCAGTTGAAAACGGACAAAAAAAGAAACAAAAACCAACTAAAAAATAAACTAGACTTTAATTTTCACTGTGCTGAATTTCGTTCCTTAATGCTATGAGATAAGATAACAGTAATTTTTTTTTCAATCCTGTAATTTAAAATACATTTTCTAATTAAAAATTTGATTAATTTTAATTCCTATCACCTAGTATTTCTCTTTAAAATATATTTATTTTATCTGACTGTCGTAACAACTATACTTATTGCATAAAAATTGTATTAATTTATAGTTAAATAATTTTTATTTTTATGACCTATAAAGATCATATTTAATAAAATTATCCGATATACAATAAATATTATTTATAAATAAACCTGTTAATACACATTTAATAAATTATTGTGTTATACATTATTAATTATCACTTATTTTAATTACTAATTAGTATTGTGTCAATTGCTTATTAGTTATTACTCAAACTCAATAATTTGAACACTGAACACTTTGAAAATAAATTCTTTTAATACAACTAGAAGCAATAGGCGTGTGAAGATTGAAAGTTTGTAATAAGTCCAGGTTTCATGAAAAGTTTTAATGGTAATGTTAATGAACTTATTAAATATTATTATTATGTTATTTTTATTATAAATTTCTTTAATCGTACAAAGTAGATTGTCATAATTATTTAATATAATCTTGAAGGCTTGACTCTGCATGACCAATAATGAATAAGCTCATGTAGGTATAGAAAAATTTGAAAGGGTTTCGAAAGTTAAAAAAAAAAATGTTATCGTTAGTAAATAAAATGTTGTATATTTATTGTTATGACATTATTTTAAAACTATGAAAGTGTTTGACATAAACATTTATTAAAATGACTTATGCAAATAATATCTATACAAAATATTATTTTAAAGTTTTTGTGGAAAACGTGTTCAGATAGTTATCACTTTATCAGTATATGTGGTGTCTAATGTTTAAAGTGTATTATAAGAATGTAATCTAATTTAATAAGCTTGACATTTATTTCTTGAGCAATCTTTACTAAAGTTTATGTTGTTTTCAATGAAATTATAAATAAATTGATAGTTCCAAAACTTTTTTTGTTGAAATGTCTGAAAACTTAACTTTAAGTTAAATCAGTGTAAATCGATTACTACTGTGAAGCTTAACAATATTTTTAAAGAATTTAATTATATTTTTAGTTGAATTTCAATAAATTCCGGGTATGAGAGAAACCCCATAAACCACCGTCCACCAATGTTTTTGAAAAAGTAGTTTAGATTAATAAATTACAATTATGTAAGTTAATAATTCGTAAAATAAGTATTCATGGAGGGCCGTCGGCTGAGAAAGATCTTTTCAACTTATTTATGTATGGTCGATAAGTCCGGGCTAAAAAGTCAGTTCTGTCACTGTAATTTTAAGATACACTCCAAGCATTTTTCTCGGAGGCTAGTCATTTTTATCGATAGATAGCGCTGTCGTATACAAAATATACTCTCAAAGTAAATAACTAGTTCAACGTTTATTACAAAACTATATTTTTAGCTTAACTTAATTATTTGGACAAGTTTCATTTAAAAATGATTTCATTTTTTCAGAATCGACGATTCGCTCCTAATTTTTTTTTTTAACATTCCGTCCTTTGTTTGTTGTTATAGAAAATAAATGAGTTCTTTTCTTAGTTCCAAATTGTAAAATATATGAATAATAGAAAACGACGTATCAAATTTAAAATTATATATAGTACTTAACTACTTTAAAATTATATCTTATATTTGTTACTTACAAGCTATAGATTTATCTAACTATAATCTTCTCTAGTAGATTTCTATTAAAATTAAAAAATATGACTTTTTAAGTTTTATATAGATAGGTCATACATAGATAGGTATGAATAATATAATATAGATATATAAACACTAGATGATCAAATATAAATTTAAAGGTATTTCAACTTTGACAATGGAACTTATTTTAGTACGATAACTGTTGGGTCACGTGAATGTTAATTATTTTCTATTAATAAATGTGTTTTGTTTATTTTCTAGTTTTTTTTTTTTTATATTCACGGCTGGATGGAGGGAATTAAAAAAAAAAAAAATGAAATTGAACGTATCTTAACAGGGAAATCGTAGCCCGAGTTATTGTTCCGTGGTTCGGTGGAAAGTAATATTTGTCTCTCTACAGCCACTGCGTTGAAAGTACTCGGGGTTACATGTTTTCGAAACGATATGGCGAGTGTTGGTCTTAAGTTTTTGTCGTCATGCCATCCACCTATCCAGTGGTGCCCAGACAGGTTAGCAAATAGTGAAACTGCATGTGCTCTCGTGGGGAATGGGTGTATAAGTTGGTTAGTGGGCATATAGTTAACTTAGATACCAAAAATTATGGACTATGGTAAGCAAATAACAATATTATTATTACAATAAAAAAAATAAAAAAATACCTGGGTGGGTGGGTAAATTTTATTCGTTGCGAATGCGCTCTCAAAATACCTCTGTGCGCCACTGCACCTACCTACTCTTTAGACGGGAATAGGTGGATAGTTACCATCTTACACGCATATTAAGAATAATGATTAGTAGATTGGGAGGATTCTTTAGCAAACCTGCGGCATATCTAGCACGCTGTTAAGAGGATCATTTAAGTATTCTTCGCTTTGAGATTGTCCTCGACCGGGTATGAATTATGCTGCAAAAACTGTAACCGGTTGTCCTTTACAATACGCGAGAAATGGACACTGCGGAGTGTCGACTTCTAGTCATTTCCGAGACAAAATTTCTCCCTTCGCCGCGAGATGATTGAAAACTCAACATATAGTTGTAAATCAATGATAATACCCGGAAGCGTAAGAATTTAGGTTGGTTTACTGAACTTTTCTGGCTATCTTAGAAAACTTTTTTTTTGTAATACGAACTTTTAGCTTAAAAATTAGAATTTAAAAATTTCGGTAGTGCTTATATATAATGAGTACTTGATGTATAATAGTATGCAAATGTACGTGGCTGATAACTTCTCAAATCATAGTTGAAACCATGAACAGAATAAACTATAAACATATTGCTGTATAAAATTAGTTTATTCCTCGCATACCTCGAAATTTTAAATGTAACAGTATGTGAAAACATATTAAAAAAAAAAAAAAAAATGTTAAGTATAAATAATGTGGTAGTTATGTTAATTTAAAAAAAAAAGTATAAATAAAAATCATAAATATAATTATATAGGTAAAAAATATAAAGGTACATCAATTCAATAAAGGTTAAAATAAAATTAAAAATATATGATATTTAATTTTCAACTCCTCGAGTGTTCTTGTGATGTCCTTAATTCATTTAATTTGTCAATAGTCATTATTAATTTTCTTCTTGGACCAAATAAACTAAAAAATAATTATATCCCATTTTTATTAGCACTTGTGTTAAATATGTAGCCATGTAAGCATATCATAACATGAAGTTTTTTACATGAATATTTGATTAATTTGATTAAATATGATTATCTTGGGTAATCATTATTTTAATATAAATATAAATAATGATATTATTTTAGTTTTAATATAAAAACAACATGTTAGAAAAGCTTAGATTTTAAATACATTATTTTGTTTTCTATTTTTAATGAATTTGTAGTACGAGTATTTTATTTAAAACATTATGCCGGTATGGAAATGATTGAATTCTATTTATATGTAATAAAGTGCATTTATCGTTCAGACTATAAAATTGTTATTTGTTAGCATTTGAAAGCATAAACTAGAAAATATTACGGACTGTCACAAACAATGTATTACCACCGCGGAAACAACGGTAACACTATCATTGGTTTGTCCACCATAATATAATAGATTAAGATTATAGATGTTTCATAATCATAATTGACTTTTGATCTCAGATATAGACACGCGGTAATAACAGGAGGCTATAGTACTGTATGCCACTCCAGATCGGGTTTAACAAATGTTTCTGCTATTATTACCACCGCGATAAAATTGTATCGTCCAAATTCAAGAAATTTTACAAATGAGAAAAACGTATTATTAAAACGTGAAAATAGCAGCAACATGGAAACCCGAGAAATCATGTATTTACATGCCCTTACCGGTTAAATATGCAAAAATATGTAAAATAAGATTACGTATTTAATTTAGAAATAACGCAAAACAAAGTTTGATAAAATCCATTTTCTTATATAAAAAAACGATGTAACACAAAAAACATGCGAATGCATGAAATTTACAGTCCTGATTATTATACATAACTCAACATTAAAATAATACCTAAGAAATACTTTTAAGTCTAAGTAGTAGATAGGTACCTACTATACCTGTTTGAAAAAATAACAGTGTGTCATTAATTATGGAAATGTTGATTGTTTTTTGATTAAACACTAACAAATGTGTATTATAAACTCACTTTATCCCGATATCTTTTAAGTCTTGCTCGGATAATTTTAAGAAATCATTGTACCGGATATTTCGTTTGTCGAACATCGGCCAATATTTTTCCAACGACAACTGTTTTAGTAGTTTTTCCATGTGATAATCTATAATAGTATATATTTATAAATGATCGCAAAATATTTAAATATAAAATACCTATACACTGTAGCGTGTTTATAAAAAGAAATATTTACATTAAATGAAATGAAACATACCTATATTTTCGTCGCTTTGATGATTGTTTTTGGTCATTTTCATTTTTTCTGACCACGTAGTCTTCAACATGGTTTTTTCATGTCTATTTTCATATTCGTACAACAATTTCATGACTCTCTGAAATCCTTTAGAGATAGCTGTCATGGTCATAGTCTTACCAAAGTTATCTCTATAAAGATAAGTATAGTAGGTATGTAAATGCGTTTTCAAATGTAGGTATAGTTAATGTTTTAATTGTAGTGTTTTTCTGACTCATATCAGCCTTATTGTTGTAATGTGTATATTTTATACGTCGTTTACTCGGTTATATACTTTTTAAAATTATAGTATTAATATAATGATACATTGATACAATGATACATATATTTTGCCAGTTAAGATTTTAAACATTAATTATTAATTATGTATTTATTAAATCTAACTAATTATAAGCAATTAAAATATCAAGTATAACATTATAAATTGATTTAAATTATTTTATTGTCTACTTATAAATAAATAATCAATGACATCAACATTTGTGCTGTATGTTTACTTGCTCAAAAAGTTGTTTTAAAAATTAAAATATTTTACATTAAACTTATTGTAAATATTATTGCTTTTAAAAATTTACCAAAAATGTTAATAAGTAATCTTTTAATTTAAATTTTACT